GTTTGGCAATTTGGGTTTCTCTGTTCTGTGCCTCGACTCTAAGAACAATCTCGGCCCCTCTGACCACCTGGGTGACTAAAAATCCCTGCAAGCATGGATATATACACAAGTGTAAAATACCTTTAACTTGCTGTATGTTACTACCAGTAAAAAGACACACACCCGTTTAGTGGTAAATGCACTTAATCTATTAGAAAAACTGGCAAATTGCACAAAGATGAACACACAGCTGATTGATTATGACAAAGTCTGCTAGACATAGAAAAGTTAAATTGACAAAAATTAGATTTTACACCCCTAACTGGAATCAGAAAGGTAGTGAATCAGCAATAAACAATATTAACTGAAACATTAAATGCAGTATAAATTATGATAACACTACGCAAGGTTAGAGAGCACTCTAAGGGATTTGTTGGGATGCAGCATCTCTTATGAGGTCTTTAGTCCTTACTCTTCAGCTAAGCTAAATGTTCAGACCATCAATAAGGGCTGCAATCGGTATTAGGGCTGTGAGGTAGCTGGTAGTTCCTAATAGTTCAGTCTCTAATGGTGGTAACAATTAGCCCAGCAATCCAATAGCTCAGTTTCTAGTGGTGGTGACAAGTAGCCCAGTAATTCCTAATGGCTCACTTTCTAACGGTGGTGACAAATAGCAGCCACAAGGCCCTCTCACCAGACCCAGTGACACAGCAGCAGTGGTCTCTCTGATCAGGTATTCACTCTCTTTGGGTTGCCTGTAATGACTCTGGTAACTAGCTAGATCCCTCCGTACTCAGATCCTACTCTGTACCCTCTGATGTTCCTCATGCAGCTGTGGATTTCGGTGACACAAGCTCTGTCTCTCTTAGGTTGAGTTCCTGGACATAATCCTGTCACACCTGTCAAACCAGTTCTCTTCTCCCCACTGATGCAAAACCTGCTGGGAGTGTAGATCATGCTCCACTATATCTCAATGGGCAGCACTTCCAGGGTACTACATATCCCATGATCCTCTTCTTCTCACTGTTGATTGGCCCCTTGTTGTTGCTGGGCTAGAGGGGGGAGGAAACAGAGTAGGTTGTGAGCCAGGATTATATACAGTAGAGCCCGCTGTAATTCATTGTCCCCCTCTGCCCCTCAGAGCGATCCATGAGCCTGCTGTAATTCACCACTCACCAGCGGGGGGTAAGAATCCACTGTACCTGCTCCACAAGGATTATTCGCTCTTTATTTATACAGGGGTTCTAAGCATACATTTAAATAAAGCAACCTTCCAAACCTTTAAAGAGATTATTTTCTTTCTGTTCTGTTATATATTGCATTCTTTAACTCCCCCTCACCTTGCCTTGTCATTCTCAGCCACTCCTTTCCACTGCCCACCTCAGCACCTGTCCTCTGGACGCTGTGCCCTTCCCTGGGCCATTTGAAAACCTCCCATGGTTTTCAATACCACCTCTATGCTGATAACACCCAGAGTCTCTCGACTCCTCAACTCACCCACTCAGTCTTCTTATGTATCACAAATTTACTGAGCAACATATCAGTATGAATGCCACACAACTTATTAAAACTCAGTCATTCTTCTTGGTCCCTGCTGAAGTCCGATGGGTCAAAATTGAAGCTACATGTGCATGAGTACCCAACCTAAACCTGCTGTTACTAGCATATGCATGGAAACTGCTTACCTTGTCTCATTTGCCCCCAACTACTCAGGCTTCAATCTCAGTATGGAGAACTTTACTCCTTCAGCCATCAACAGAACACCCAAGTGTTAAAATCAGGCTCCCTATAGAGATATTAGAAATACTATTGCCTTACTTCTCTACTAAACAATGGAGGGAGAAAGGTATTAACTGGTTTGATGAAATAATGCAGCAAGATCCCCTCATATCTTTTGACTAATTAACAAGTGAGTATAATCTTCCTAAGCCATGCCAATATATGTACACACGCATTTTTTCATTCCTATCCAAATACCCACAGCCTTCTATATATATAAACCCCAAGATTTGAACAGGCAAGTCTAAAAATGGCAAAGGCATCTCCCTACTGTATAATTATAAACAACAACTTTTTAAATCCCCACCAATGCTACTATGGGAGACAGACCTGAACATTGTATTTACACTTAACCAATGGGCCATGGCACTGAAGTACTATTATATAGCATCCCACTGTATTAATCATTGGGAACTCACTCAGAAAATAATAACTAGCAAAATATTATCCCACCTTATCCTCCTTATGCTGGAGACAATGTGGGCGACATGTCTCCATCTATCATATCTTTTGGGAATGTCAGAATTTGACCAGTTTTTGGAAGAAAATATTCAGTATCATCTCTGACATTACTGGAGTATTCTCACCCCCAGATCCAGCACTGGCAATTTTACATCTGGGTATAGATCAATACCCAACAGTTCACCGTATTGTAGTCACTCACATACTAATAGCATCTAAATTAATAATCGCTAGACACTGGAGAGATGAACGTACTCCTAACCCTCATAAGTTCTGGTACAAGGCAACCTTAATTATCAATATGAAAGACTGCTAGCCATCAGATCAGCCTCTTGGTCATCCTTTGATAAAAATTGGAAATGTTGGACTGACTGGTATAAACAATAACCGACCCTAAAAGCAGATGGAAATGACATCTCAAAAGGGAAGATACAGGGTTGGACTGGAAGGAATGTCTCTTTGCAGTACTATGCACAGTCCCTTTTGGATAAAACGGAATGTCTTCTCACCTATGCATTTTTTTTTTAATTTATTTTCCATTGAAATTAATGGAAATGCATCAAAGTGCATGTTGAGTTGCATGCTGACGTTCAATACAAAGTGCATTACAAACATGTTAAAAACGATCTACAATACACATTACTCAATAAGTGTGCAAGTCAATTGATTTAAATAGAAAATGTTTCAGGAGGAAAAATACTTAAGTGTGAAAAGGTCTAAATGTACACGAAGGGAGACGGAGGAAATCCTATGACCTCTAAGCTAATCACCAGGAACAGATCAAGGCAGATGTCAAATTGCTTCTAGGCTCCTGCTGTTTCACCTGCTGCTGCATTCCACATGGGACATACTGTATATACATGCAGCCGCCGGAGAGACACTTTTGAAGTATGCATTAATAAATATTTTTTTCCTAGCAATTGGCAGTAAATGCATGCATAAAATATTGAGGCTTCAATACTGTTGTAACTTAAACTGAAAATCATTACAGAATAGTTGGTAGTCAGTGTGACTGCTCTGGCAGCACCGCAATCTAAAAATGTAGTCTTATGCTGATTGGTTGCATTTGTGCCTTTTTAAAATATATTTTATATTTCATTCCATATTAGATCAGGTGGATGCTGTGCCACCTGAAGGAAATGGCAGGCCAGTATGGAAGGAAATGTACTATAAGTGCTTCAATAGCCAGCAAAACCATAAAAGACATAACATTTACAGAATTTCCTCTCTGCCAAATTAAATTAAATTGTAATTCATACAACATGGATATAATCGTTAAAATCTTTTTCTGCAATGCTGCTAGCGTGTATTATTTTTACAAGACTAAGTGGTTTTTGAAAAATTACATTATTAAACTACATTTAAAAACGTGTATTAGGAACCTAAATTGGTATCTGCAGTATATTTGTATCTAATACGTGTGCTTTAGCTGCTACAAATTATTTCAAAACATGTCTGGATCTTGTTTCCATAGAAACAAAGACGAAAATAGGTTTATTTGTTTTTATCATCATTATCTGTCATCACGTTGTAGAGAATTGTTGATACATTGTTTGCTGACATAATTGAAATATGATATTGTAACCCGCTATACATAGATCTTTATCCATCTGTCTGTCTATCTCTCCCTATATCTGTCATGTAATGTAGTTTTATTCTGAAATCTTATGCAGAGAAGAAGAGATGAACAGTTTTCTTATTATATCAGTTTGTGCGGAGATTACATATATAGAATTAATATAACATGGTCTTCAAAAGATAGGTCATATGAAATTGGTAATGTTTTTTGTGGGTGAGCCATACTGTGTGTTAGAATAAAGATCACTGATCTGGTATTTTTACTATCAATAGAAATAACATCTTCATAAAGATGTGATCATAAATGTGAATTATTTAAATCACATTTCTTGTAGGATGAATATTCACAGTGGCATAGGAACATTGGTCAAAGCGGTCATAGCTGTGAGCAGGCCTTTTTTCATAGGGGTGCCATTAGCCCCCTGCCACTTAATTGCTTTCACAGCAGCAATATTGATGGGAAGAACAGTTAGGAAGCCTTACAGTCTATAATCATTGTTCAGCATCATTGTTGCACTATGCTTGATGTTTCATGAGTAATACTATTATTACATGAATATGTTTACACAAACTACACAGCATTAACATTACCTGAAGCCTACATACATTATAACAGGTCAATGTCCAAAACAGATTACACAGGTATTGTTAAATCAGACAGAAGATAAACCAAAAAAATAGTAGGGATGAGAAAATACACATGCGCAGAATTAACAAATGAAAAATGGGTGGGAATCCATTATTATTATTATTATTATTATTATACAGTGTTTATATAGCGCCAAAGGGTTTGCTCAGCACTGTACATTATAGTGGGGGGACAGTACATGAGACAATACAGTAACAATACAATACACGAGGGGTTAGAGGGCCCTGCTCTTTCGAGCTTACAATCTAGGAGATTGCCATTAAAACAAAAATACACGCAAACACATGACACTTATGGGTCTATGTATAAAAACGTTTGTTGAACGAATATCCGCAGAGCTCCAACAAATCTTGCAGGATTCTGTATTATATAACTATCTCATACAACTGTAAGTGCCATCTAGTGAACAAAATTCCTTTTTTTTCCTGATTAACTGCTTTCTCTCCGCTCTATAGCACATATACTGCTATGGGGAGGCAGGGGTGAGAAAAATCACCCATATATATATATATATATATATATATATATATATATATATATATATATATATGTGTGATTTTGCATTTCCGGGTAGGGGACACATGCCCTGCCCAAGCCACTACTCACAGCCTTGGCTGTCAACCACCGGGTCCGGTCCGGAATGTGATTACTCACTGAGCATAACCGATGGAGGGAGAGAACTGTATGTAAATAATATAGTTCTCTCCCCTGTCAGCTCCTGCACACTGCTTTGTATGGCTGTGCATAGCACAGCCACACAAAGCAGTGTGCTTACAGTTGAAAGCACTAACACAACACACAGTAAAACAGCGCACAGCACACAGTTACCCTTTGATGATAACCCCTTCCTGCCCAGTGCCATTTATTACAGTGTCAGTGCTTTTTATTAGCACTGATCACTGTATTGGTGTCACACTGGGGATGTCAGTGACACCATCTCAGTTACCCCCAGTGTAAAAATGCCCACCGCAGTCCCGCTATAAGTTGGTGGTCACCGCCATTACTAGTCCATATAGCAGAAATATTGCTGCAGGGCTGCACAAAATCATGTATATATACATGATTTGCATTTCTGTGTAGGGAAAAAAATATCCCAGTGTGTATATATATATATATATATATATATATATATATATATATATATATATATATATATATTCTGCTATATTTGTAATTCTGCTATATTTGTAAATGCTATAACTGTCACGTAAACCAATTAATTTACACGTTGTGGGATTTTTTTTTTACACGGACATGTAGCAGAAACATTTTGGCCTAAATTTATGATGACATTTGATATTTTTATTTTTTTTTACTGGACATGTTTAATAGCAAAAAAAAGTAAAAAAAATTGTTTTTCTCTCAAAATTGTTGATCTTTTTTTTTGTTTTATACAGTGCAAAAAATAAAAACCGTACAGGTGATCAAATACCACCAAAAGAAAGCTCTATTCTTGGGAAAAAAAGTACATAAATTTAGTTGGAGTGCAGTTTTATATGACTGTGCAATTGTCAGTCAAAGTAACGCAGTGCTGTAATGCAAAAAATGGCCTGATCAGGAAGGGGGGTAAATCCTCAGGAGGGCAAGTGGTTAAGGTATTTAAAAAATACTGCATTATGGCCTCTAAATGACACTTGCAATCATACAATAGTTATAAAACACATAGTTAAAATACATAGACTATGGCAAGATTGATTGGAGATGTGCGGATGTGTGTCATATTTGTTCAAACTTTTTATACATAGACCCCAAATTGATAAAAAAAAGGTTGGATGTAATAGAAGAGGTAGTCAAGAAGACAACAACCAGAAGAAAGAAGACATGAAAAAGAAAGAGACTGTTTGACAATGTTGAAGAGAGGAGAACAAAACAAGGTGGAAAAAATAAGGGAAAAAATGCTCTTACTGAAACTGGAGGGTCCAAAGCTCTGCATAGAAACCAATCAGCTTCCAGGTTGTATAGTCAAAGCTTAACTGAACAAGCTGAAATTAGAAGCTGATTGGCTATCATGTAGAGCTACACCAGATTTTTCACTCTCCAGTTTTAGTAAATCAACCCCAGTCTGTCAGGTTCTCTTTATAAGTGTGTGCAGTTTCCAGCAGTCCTATGTAAGTACATTATCTAATAGCATCTCTGTATAGTACAGTTTATTGGCAACTCTTCTATATCAAGTGGTATTTTAGGATGTTACAATACAGCCAATGCCTTCCCCTTCATTGGGGCTTGTGAAATGGTCATGAATCACAATGGAATGCAAGAGAAGACCTGTGTTAAGACTTGATAAAGACTAGTGTCTCCTAACAGAACTAAGAACAGCCAAGGAAGAATGAGGTCATGGTAGCTACCATCTTTAAAACTTCCTCTAAGGCAGGGGTAGGCAACCTTAGAGACATGAAGATCTACTTGAACACCAGAAGAGGAGTCAAAGATCACAGTGTGTGTAAAAACACAACTCAACTGTGGGGTTTTACCATCCCCCCATCCCAAACTGCAAGTGTAGATGAGTCCTTACTGTTCTAAGCCCCATATAATAATGGCTTGCTTTATTATTGATGACACCAGTTCAGTATTGTATGTGAAAAAGGTAATACAGGAGTGGAGTCCACTGTCAATCAGTACAAACCGCAGTTCAATGATTTTTGTAGCAGCTACTGCTGCTGCTGCTCTGGTTCTACTAAGCAGGGAGAGAGGCGGAGTGCAGTTGATGTCACTCCACTGGGGACTGCAGCCGGTAACTAAAGAAGATGATGTGGCCGCCTACACTCTCCATGAGCGGCCTCATTCCAAGTAAAAAAAAATTAGTCCCACTGCTTCATATAAGCACTCCACTCTGTTCGAGGTTCTGCAGAGGGCAATTTGACAAGCCAAGGGCATGATCTACCAGTCAACTGGCCACAATCTACTGGTAGGTCACAATCAATGGGTTACTGACCCCCACTCTAAGGAGTAAGGTAAAAATTTTAATGCAAGGTTCCTATTCTGAATGAGCTTTTATCCCAGTGACCCTTGTCAAAACATCAGAAGTCTTTTTTTTTTTTTTTACTTGCTGTAAATTTCCATGTGGGCTTTCATATTGTCTTTGACAGACTAGTACTACACAGTGGGGTTTATTTACTAAAGCTGGTTCATTCAGAATCCTGTGCACTTCTGCATGGAAACCAATCAGCGACCGGGTTTTATTGCTAAAGCTTAATTTAACAAGTTGAGGCTAGAAGCTGATTGGCTACCATGCACAGGTGCACCAGATTCTGAGTGAACTAGTTTTAGTAAATCTACCCCATTAAGTTTGCTCAACTATCTGTTGAAAGCAATGGACTCTCTACATTCTCTAATGATATGTCAAAATACTCTGAGTCTTCTGAGAACACACGATCTTAGTCAAAGCTTTAAGGCACTTAAACCTCCCTGGTGGTATTCCCGAGCTCGGGGTAAAGTTTCAGCACCACAAGCGGTGACCCCGAGCTTCACTAGGGAATACCCGGCAGGTCTACTCCGGGATCTCTTCTTCACTTACTTTGTCCTGCGCTCCCGCAATGTCCTCCCTGCAGTGTCCCCGGCAATGTCCTCCGGCGGATGCCGGCATCTGTCTTCTGGGTTCTGTTCCCTGCGACATCGGGACGTACGGGGATGGACGGCGGGAAATTTAAAAGTTGTAAAAGTGACATTCACTACATTCACTAAAATCACATAGTAAAACATTACTGTATCAAACCATTTCACATACATTTTGTCCCTAGTGCTTTGTCCTGTGCACTGCTTGCATTTTTACTGTTCTTTTTTGCCTGGAAACCGAGAAACGTCCATGGCGTCCAAAAAGCGTCCCTTTAGGTCAAAAGCGGTTTTAGATCAGCTAGAGAACAGCGATAGTAAATTAGAACTACTTGCAGAATTGAGTGATAATGATTTGTGGGAAAATTCCTCAACAGACACTGAAAACGATTTTTCAACTTTGCTCAGTGATGTGCGAACTTGGCGCTATATTTCAAATATCAGTGTTTTTGGTTTGATTATATTATTGAATTAAATTTATTATTAGTATATTATTATTTTTTATGATTATTTATTAAATTATAATTTATGATTTTGTGTTTTTCAAATTTTAACATACTCGGGATGTTTAGCTCGGGGTAGAGTTTCAGTACCAAAAGCGGTAACCCCGAGACACTTGGGCTTACCATGCAGCGTTGCACAGGGATTCCCTGCAGCGCTTACCTTGTTCTTCACTCCCGCGATGCGTCCCCTGCAGCATCCCCAGCCATCTCCTCCGGCCGATGCCGGCATCCGGCTTCCGTGTTCCGGTGCCTGTGACGTCGGAACATACGGGCGCTGGAACCGGTGGCAAATTTGAAAATTTTTAAAAATTACATTTTTTTAAAAAAACAATTATTACATAGTAAAAAACATTGCTGTTTCAAAGCATTTCACATACATTATGTCCCTACTGCTTTGTCCTGTGCCCTGCCTGCATTTTGACTGTTCTTTCTGCCTGGAAACTTAGAAACGTCTATGGCATCCAAAAAGCGTCCCTTTATGTCAAAAGCGGTTTTTAGACCAGCTAGAGAACAGCGATAGTAAATCAGAACCACTTGCAGAATTGAGTGATGATTCGTGGGGAAATTCGTCATCAGACACTGAAAACGATTCTGCAACTTTGCTCAGTGATGTGCGAACTTGGCACTATATTTCAAATATCAGTGTTTTTGGTTTGATTATATTATTGAATTAAATTTATTATTAGTGTATTATTATTTTTTATGATTATTTATTAAATTATAATTTATGATTTCGTGTTTCAAATTTTAACATACCCGGGATGTTTACTAGACTCTTGTTCGGACAGATTTCAGTGAGTTATTCCTAAAAATTACAGGCCTGCAATAAAAAAAATACATATTTCCATGCAAAAAAGTGTACGACTTTGAGCACAGAAATATGGACATAATCAGACCGCTAGGGAGGCTACAGAGCTTGGGAGCAGCATTTCTGGTAATTTTTGGTAAGAAAGATGTTTCTTTTTTTCTGACTGAAAAGTAACAAATTACAGAGTTGAGAGTAAAACAGAAACACAGAATCATCCTACATTTTTGTAATTTAACACTTGTAATAAAGTCACTGGTAAGAAGGTGCTACTAATCTAAAGGAGGCAGATCTTTAACCAATTTTGGAGTATATTCTTTGTAGAGCCACAATATCATTCAAAGACATTTTGGTTTTACAATTGGACTCTAGACTGTCTTCCCACAGGTCATTTAAAACAGACACAGTTCTTTAAAGGAAACAATGGAGTCTGAAATTTAAATTTGAAACCTTAGTGCTGCTTTGCTTGAAGGTGATTGAGGTATTGAATATTCTGAGATACCTAAATACAAAAATCCATGGTATATGGGATAGGACTGGAGGCATGGGTAAAGGAAGAGGGTCTATGGTCAACAAGGCCAACTGGCTAACCAAAAAGAGGCTTTAGGGTAATAATGTATTTAGGGTAATAATGTAATAGGTTTGTTCAGGTAATATAGGATGTAATCATTATAGATGTGTTCTTCCTCCACAAAGCCAATAGATTCACAAATCAAGATTTTGTACTGTTGATACATGACAAGTTGTATAAAATGAAGTGTGAATTTTAGTAAAGCATTAACTTTTGGTAGCAGCAACTTATGAATTTGTTTCAATGCATGTTTAGTACCTCTTTCAAACAGTTTGCAAATAAAGATTATACAAAAATCAAAATGCAAAGTCAAAATGCCAAAGACCACACAACTTTGTATATTATTCTTTTAGGAAAACAGTTATTGCAAATTATATAGAAGGCTTTCTTTGTTTATGTGCCAAGAAAGACTGTATTTGCCATTGTTAGTATCAGTACTAAGGCTGACGTCTCAGAACATATTTTTCTTAATATTTATGTGTTTTAGCACTACATTGTTAGATACATTGGGGTTGATTTAGGCCTGTTTCACACATGTTTACCATTTGTTTGTTT